TATATCATCCGAACAATCAAGTACATTTGTACACAACATACATTGCCAAGTTTCACTCTCACTGAAAAAAATGAGTAATCAATAATAATAAAAAAACAGAAAAAACTAAATGAAAGTGCATTATAAAACTAACTCTGGAAATGATTTTAAACTAGGTATATGACAATAAAGATGGAAGACTTTTGGACATTTATCGCAACATAGTACTGCATCTCCCCCATCCATACACACAGCACACCAATCTTCGTTGGGATCGTCTTTTATCACCATAGAAGCAGTTGTACTTTTTGTATTATCTACTAAAAAAAATTATTGAAATAATGTTTTATTTTTTTTAATAGAATGCATTAAGACGCACGCGTACACGTACGCGCGCACGCCCGCACGCACGCATGCATGTAGCTGAAAGAATAAATTTAATTTTAATTTAATTTAACTAACCTGTTGTATTTTCTGCCATTGAATTTATATCCTCGTCAGTAGAACTATCTACTTGTGCCGAATCTATTTGTCCTCTTTGAGCTTCTGGTATTACTAAAATCCCATTACTATCTAATTTTGCAATAGTAAGCATTAGGTCATTTAATGATTTCTGACAAAATTTATCTAGACTTTTCTCAGTATCATCCGTCTTGCCAGGAGTTGTAACAGGACTAGGTGTTTTAGGTATTGACGAACTGACAGCATGTAATAATGAGACAGTGGATGAAGTTTGCAATTGAGGTGGATTATCACACAAAGTAGCATTTACATTGGTGCTACATTTTTGATTATTGCTGGTCTGTTGATTTTTTAAAGTAATTTTATATGTATCATTGGTAGGAAGTGATGAATAAGTAGATACATGTTGATGTCGAGGCAAAGTGTAAGGAAGGCAAGGATTCGCTTGTTGTGGTATATGCCAACGATGGACGGGATAATTTCCGATATGTTGCGTTGATGGAGAAGTTAAGTTGCATTGTTGCAAACGTGTTGTTACAACAGATGTACTTGCTGCTTGATATGTATGAGATGATGGTACTTGGACTCTTTGAGGATTATTACTTGAGGAATATCTAAATCCAGGAGAAAATCGGTATGGTACATGATTCGTAGATGATCGGAACGATGGATAAGGAGGTGGCGGAATAGAATTATGCGCGAGAAGACCGCGTAAACTTGTGCTCTGTCCAAGTTGATCCAAATTTTGCGCTTGCTGATGTGGATGTGTAGATGATGTTACTTGTTGATGACAAGTTCCTAATGGCCTTTGTATCAATAGAGGTTGTTGTAACCTGTTGTTGCTGTAGTTAACAGAATACGGCACACGCTGATGCGCTTGTGGCGATGATCGAGGTGATATACTATGAGGTACGATATATTGTTGTATATAGTTTTGAGATTGTTGTTGTTGTTGTTGTTGTTGTTGTTGCTGCTGCTGCTGCTGCTGCTGTGATAGATGCACAGGTGCTTGTTGCTGATAAGAATTATGTTGCATGCTGGTAGATTGCTGTGTTACCATTACTGATGGTAATGCTTGTTGAACAACAATAGGAATATTATCCACATGAACATTCGAATTAGTTTGCTTTTGGTCGGTTTGTGATTCATTATAAGTTACCGTACTATTGTTGCCAATTACAGGAGATATAGATGGATATACTCTACCATCAACAACTATTGCCCCAATTGATGAAACTACTGTAAGTATAAAATGAATATATTGCTTTATGTTTAGATGTAATGTAAAGTACAATCGACTATTTCTTTTATTTGTATAAATTAAACAGGAATTTTATCGTCATACCTTTTATTAAATCTGGTACTTTCTCCAGTGATAAATGAATTCTGACTG